TTGATGAAATTAAAGAAATATATGTGTATTTCTTCAAACAGACAGTTTGTAACACGTCTGACAATTTGCAACAGTATTACTTGGCATTAACTTTAACAGCAAGTAGCTGTGTGATTTGTAAATGCTAAAAAAAAGAGACAACAATTTTCTCAAAAAAATATATGCATGCTTCAAACAGGCTGTGGATTGTGGATAAATAAAAGATGGATCACATGATACACCCATCTAACAATCAGTTGGAGTGGATATTGTGTGAAGATTAAATGCATGTTATCTAATAAACAAAACTATGGAATAAATTTATAAGAATTTGTTAAAGCATACTTTAGTTATGGTGAAAAATTGGAAAGTGTTTGACTAGTCCAATAACTCTTGACTGATAAATCTGAAAATCGTCAAAAATCAAAAGGAAATGTATCATGACTTTGCTTCATATATTGAGTTATCACCAGATATGAATCAACATGCTTGATAGTACTGAAGGGTATAAAGATTGCATTCAGATTTCAGTGGGAGCTAAAAATTAAATATTACACTGTTTTAACAATGATAGGCAATATTTTGAATTGGAGATATCACCCTTTGTCCATTATTGGTTCAACTACTATTATGGACAAAGGAAGACAATTTCTATTTTAATATTACCTTCAATGGCTTTTTTAAAACAAATAGATTCATTTATGTATATTTCAATGAAACAGTTTTCTTGGCAAGTATGGCAATACACATATACATCAATTTGTTACTTGAATATCTGAGTATATATTTCATTGATAAACTGCTTAAAAAAAACAAGATAGGATGTAAAGAATGTTCACCTCAATGCACAATGTTTGTGTGGTCTCAAAAGTAGTGATAACTTCTGGAAAATAAAGCTTTCAAGCCAGTCACATAAGGGTTTTAATTGCATGAATGCAATCTTTACCCCAAAAAATTGCCTTGTTTTTATTGACTCTTAAACAACAATTCTGAAAATCATGAGACTTCGGAAATGAAGATTGTCTCCATAAAACCTCACATTGAACAATAATTTTATAAGGAATTAAGTTATCATGATACATATGAAAAGTTGCCTAGTTCTTGACAATTAAAATCACATAACTCAATAAAAAAGAATAAAAAACCAATTTGTCACTAGTCTTCATAGAACCTAGCATTATGTAAAAATTTGGCAAAAATTAGTTATTGCCACCATATTTGCTATCCAATCAGCACGAAATGAAGAATCTTTGTAGAGGGTCAAACAATCATCACTGCAATGAAGTTACTAATTTCAGAGGTGAACAAATTTGAAAACCTAACCTATCAGATCCAATTATTCCTCCAGCGGTCAAGTTTTTCATCCAATTAGAAATAAAATAAAAATATAATAAGATCAGCATCTATAAACAATATACTTACCTATTACTCTTAGAAAGATGAGTTAAAGGCAGCCTATCCCTCCCAAAAAGTGAGGAAAAGGGTTGAATCACTCAAAAGGAAGGCAAGACATTTTTTTTACAAATAAAGTTTTTAAAGAAAAATCATTCAACCCCAAACATTTATTACAGGAATAAATTATATCATAATGTTTTTCCAAATAGTTCAAATAAAAAACAATAAATGATTGTAACAGGATGCTGTTACGAAGTCTCCCAAACGAAGCTCCCATAATTCGTCATTCCCAGGGTGGCCTGACATTGGGCAAAGTCCAGTAAAAATTGGTTTGGTCCAGTAAAGTGATATGCATTAGTGATGCCTGGGGACTGACCCTGTAATTCATTCAATCTTCGTGAAATGACGAACAGGAATATATATGGTTTAGGGGTGGGGAACTTGACCATTTACAAGACATTTGAACAAATTCAAATGACAGGGGGTGGGGATGACCCCTTGGGTCTTACCCCTTATACCCTTCAAATCATCTTGGCAAGACAAACTAGAATATATATGGTTTAGGGGTGGGGATCTCGACCATTTACAAGCTATTAGAACATTGGGTGTGAGGGAACCCCTTGGGACCTCTCCTAAATATCATTCAAATCTTTGTGACATGATGAACAGGAATATATATGGTTTAGGGTGGGAATCTTGACCATTTACAAGATATTAAAACATTGGGGGTGGGGGAAACCCCTTTGGACTCACCCTATATATCATTCAAATCTTCATGACATGATGAACAGGAATATATATGGTTTAGGGGAGGGGAACTTGACAATTTACAAAATATTTGAACATATTCAAATGACAGGGGGTGGGGATGACCCCTTGGGTCTTACCATGTATATCATTTAAATCATCTTGGCATTGCAAACCAGCATATATATGGTTTAGGGGTGGGGATCTTGACCACTTTAAAGATATTTGAACTTTCTCAAATGGCAGGGGCTGGGGGTGACCCCTGGGGACTAACCTTTTATTTCATTTAATGTACTTTATCATTTAGAAAATTTTCAATTATAAAAATTGTGTCTATCACTAATTGTTTCCAAGTTATAATCATTTGAAAATTTAAAAATATAAAATACCATAGGGTTCTTTAGTAAACCCCTCCTTCCTTTTTGTCCCTCCAAGTACCCCTTTATAAACCTCATTGCACAAACAAAACCCTGATTGCACCACTAGACATGTTAGTCTAACATATTGTGGAACCCTAAGTTAATCTGACAAGCGGTTTCGGAAAACGGGTGCAGACAAGTTCAAATTTAAAAGCAGCGGAAGAAGAAGAAGAGGACTAATAATAATAATAATAAACTGCTTCGCTGAGCGCAGCTAGATACGCCCGCAGAGGTCCAACCCTGAACAGTTGGGGCAAAAATGGACACAATATTCAAGCTTGATTCAGGATGAATTTTGATTGTAATTAAATATTTGACATATTATAGGTTTCTGAATAAATGTAGTCAAAGAACTTGAAATTGGTTATATGAATTGAATTTATATTCAATTAAAGATTTCTTGCTGTTGTGCAATACTTAGTAAATCTGTTTATAAACAAATAAAGTTCAATTAATTCTCAATGTCATATTAGAAATTTATGAAAATAAAAAGGGAGCTTACATTAATAGATATAAACAATTCACCAAAGTTTCATGAGAATTGGTGACAGCATTTTTGAGTTATTGCCCGAAAACTGGAAAATCACCCCCTTTTTAAATGAATAAAACCCCATAACTCAGAAATATAAAATGTAAAATTTATAAAATTCTAAAGGGAGCTTACATCAATACATACAAACAATTCACCAAAGTTTCATAAGAATTGCTGAAAGCATTTTTGAGTTTTTGTCCGAAAACTGGAAAATCCCCCCTTTTTTTATGATTAAAAACTTGGAAACGTAAAATTTTAAATTTATAAAAATCGAAAGGGAGCTCATGTCAATAGATATAAACAATTCACCACAATTTCTTGCAAGTTGGTGAAAGCATTCTTGACTTATTGTCCGTAAACTGGAAAATTCCCCCTTTTTTTAATGAATAAAACCCCATAACTCGGAAATGTAAAATCTAAATTTTATAAAAAACGAAAGGGAGCTCACGTCAATATATATAAACAATTCACCAAAGTTTTATGCAAATTGGTTAAAGCATTTTTGAGTTAATGTCCGACATGTTGACGACGGACAGACGGACGGACAATGGTATACCATAATACGTCCCGTAAACGGGCGTATAATAATAATAATAATAATAAGAACTTAGCAAAAACAATGAGACTTAATAATTTTTTGACTTTCGAAAAAAAAATATATAACTTATTCCTGTATCAAGGCCACACCCAATTAATTTCTAGTTCTGTGGACTCTTTCCTTTGATAAAGGGTAGTAAGCAAGGGAAATATTTTTTTTTCAATGTTTGATTTGTGGCAGACAGAATAATTTTTTTTACTAGGGAGTGATAAATTTTTGAAAGGAAAAATCCTTTATTCTAAAACAGATAAAAAAAGTATAAATTCAAATCTTTCAATTTCAATAATGACACTGTTTTTACAAGTGAAATAAAATTGTGCTTGCATTTTTTATACATATTTTTTACAATGTTTGTCTTTTCTTTGAAAAAAAAAAACACATCTGATTAATCATTCAGCTAGCTAGCAAAATTAACAGAAAATTTCAATGTAGTGTCGATTAAAATAAACAATACATTTGTAGGTTTACTATTGAAGTCAAGAATGTGTGTATTCAGTTAGGTGTGTAATAAATTGTGTCTATTTAATTATGTAACAGGTCAAGAGATATTAACTGTGGCGAATTAAGACTGGGGTTGTTTCCAATTAATTTGAGTGTAATTATTTGAAAATCATGACAGTTGATAATCATACTGACCCTTACTTGCCTATGGAAAGAATTGGAGTAATACAATTTAAAAAAGTGTGGGAATCAACTTAGATATATTAATACACATGTTGACCTAAATTTCATTGAACAATAATTTACACAAGCATAAGATACTAATATAATAATTTCAAAATTCTTATCAACTTATTCAATTGATGTACAAATACTTTTTCAAATTAATTCCTAAATAGTAAATCATTATAAATTTTGATTTACAAAGGAACTATATGCAAGTGTATATCTAAAATAAAAGTGTTGTTCGACCAATCTTTTCTTAATTTAAAGGCAAATAACATGTCAAAAGTTGGCAGTTGATGATTAAAATGGTGTAGAAAGTTTCTGCAAGTCATAAAAACACATAATTAGTTTCATGATATGTCTTCAACTTAGTATTCTGCACCATCTCCAAAAACAGAGTGATCGCATAGATACAGCATGGCTGAATCAAAAATATGAGTTTTTTTTTAATAAATTCTACCTCTTTTCTAAAAAATAATACAAATTACACATCAATTTTTTATATTCAGAATAGATACGGAGAGAAAAAAAAAGTTATATTTGCTTGCTCTCAGCTGTTTTTATCTCCCTAAATATCTGAAAATAAAATTGATTGGCATAAACTTGGAGTTAATATAAGAATTCTTTGTGAGATTTTTACAACAGAATCTATATTCAAACTTACGTTTTTTCATCCTGTGCAATACCAAACCTCCCAGCATTGACCTTTGCTAGAGTTCTAAAAGCAGCCATCAGTGGCTCTTCCTGATGGCCTGGACTGCTGACAACCTCTGGATCTGTTGTAGCTCTAACAACCATGGCTTCTAAAGCTGGTCTTAAACCTACTATTTTAGCAGCATGATCATAGTCCATTCTTAAATTTATCCTGCAAAAATTTTCGAATTTAAAATAAATTGTCAAACTAAATTAGCAGCATCATTCATAAAAATACTAAATGGAAATATTGGGATGTTCTCCAACCACATAACAACCATATTACACTAAATAAACTCCTAAAGGATAACATACATACATACACAAGTATTTAAATATGAATAAATATAAATACATTAATGAGACATAAACCCAACCACACAAAAATCTAAAGAAATCTAGAGGTCAACATGCATTGTTAATCATTAGACAAATGTTTACAATATGTAAAGATCTAAGTCACCTCAAGCCTTAAGAGTTGTGATAAATCCAACAAAGCCTAAAGAGTTGTGAATAAATCCAACAGAGACTATCAAATGTCTGCAATCTACACAAATTCTTCAATGGAGCAAGCTTAAACTACATACATTCAATGACAAGATTCCTAATGGATATGGAAATATAAATATATGGAATATGAACACAACAATGAAAACTTAAGGTAAATGAAGATTATATTTTACAGGTACATTAATAGAAAAATAATGAAATACACCACAGTACTCTTTCCTTGAACAATATTCTTGTATTGTATTCTTTAATTATTGTCCTATTTACCAGTTGTCCAGAACTATGCCATCATTGTGAACTGCAACATGTCTTGAACCAAATATCAGAAGCTGTAGAGGTGTCACCATTGTCATCTGTTTGCAAGAAACTGCTCTAGTTCGAATCTAAAAATCAGAAAAATAGTAAATATCATTCTAAATATATAAGAAGATACTGAGGCTTTTTTTCAGCATACATATTTTGCTTCCAATAAATAATTCGTGGTTTTAAACCATATAATACTCGTGTTTGTCATATCTCCATAATTTGTTTAGTTTGCCATGACATATAGATCTCCATTAAAGGTTTGTTTTCTAAGTTTGAGCATCCAAATCAAATCTTTCATAAATGGTCAGAAAAACACACCAAAATGTATTGTACCATCCCACTTTAAACATCTTATACTTAATTATACAAATTAAAGGCTAAGAAAGCAGACCCATATTGAAGCACAGTTTTTGTATTATCATTATCTACTATGACTCAGTTAACCTTGAAAGTCTGAGGTTCAAAGGCAATCAGATACTGTCATAGTTCTATAACTGATACTAACAAATGATCAACCAGAGTTGCCACAATGACAAATACTTATGCTTTGATAAACAGCTTATACTTTAACTTGTAATTACCTTTTCACCAAATATAAAAAAAGGAGAAGGAAATTTGATCTCCTGGTTACTGCAGTTAACAGATGACTTGTGAACTAAGGCAGCTCTACTTTCAGTTGTTAACACCTTTCTCTTTTCTTTATGGTAACATACATTTGGATATAAACCAAGACACAGGAGAGAAATAACCTGAAAAAAAGATAATATTCATGACAATATGAAAAGCAAAAACTACAGTAAATTACTGAGAGATATCTATATAGCAATCGATGATACCTGGTTGGTCCTTTTATAAATCCATTTAAATTTTACGATTGCCTTGAGATAAATATCAATGGGGTAAAGTGGAAGAATCTATAGATATTCCCATTGACATTATTTAAACTAGAGTTGTTTCCCTTTGCCGCCATGTTATAGGGCAATGTACATATATTCCTTCATAAATCAACCAAATTCAACTTATAACAAAATTGACTGCTAGACTTTAGAAAAAGTTGTTTTCATATAAAAGTAAGGAGGGTTTGATTTGTGTAACCCTTGTTTAATTCATCAATATAATTTTGTATAGATTTCTCATTGCACTGGCTAAAGCCTTCCTGTCAAACATCCAGCTCGCAGAATATCAGTGGTAATGTATTAAGAAAAAGATCGCCACATCAATGACATGTTAGAGGCAGGAGTCAAAGAACCTGGAGAAGGTCCATGGTTATCCAGAATTGTTCTCTTCAAACAGAAGGACGGGTCACCTGTATTTGTGAATTGACTGCCAAGAATGCGTATCCACTCCCTTGCATAGACGACTGGCTAGAGCATGTGTTTTTTATGCTGGATCTCTGCTCAGGTTACTGGCAGGTCCACCTAAAAATGGCATTCCCTACAAGACAAGGTCTTTTCCATTTCCGATAAATGCCATTTGGGCTGTTATGTGCACCAGCTATTTTTGAAAGGCTCATGGAGGAGGTCATGGCTGGGTTACAATGGAACATTCTCATAGTCTACTTGGACGGCATTATTGTAGAAGGCAGCACTTTCACATAAATGTTAGATATATAAATCTAAAGAGTTTGAATGAGTTCAAAATGCAGGGTTGAAATTGAAACCTAAATCAGTTTACTATCTAGGACTTGTAGTAAGCAAAGATATGAGTTGCCCTCTTTTCTTAGTCTGTGTGAATACTACTGGAGGTATATTGAGAACTTTGAAGCCATTGCAAAATGCATGCGTAAGCTAATAGATAAAGGTCATGCATCGTGGTGGACTAAAGAATGCCAACAAGCCTTTGAAACATTCTAAAAATCAAAGCTCCTCAAGGCACCAGTACTGGCACATCCAGACTTCATGAAACCCTTTTACTTGACAGTAACGCAAGACAGTCAGCCATTGGTGCAGTGCTATCTCAGGAAATAGACAGAAAAGAGTAAATTGTTGCATATGTGAGCTGCACTCTTTCAAAAGACCTAGAAGATATTGCATTACCCAGAAAGAGTTACTTGCAGTCGTACACTTAGTCAAACACTTTAGACATTTTATGTACGAAGGACTTTTGTTGTGAGAACAGACCATAGCTCCCTGCAATGAATTATGAACTTCAAGAATGAAGTAGGACAGCTAGCAAGATGGCTTGAGGTTCTCAGCTGATATGACTTAAAGATTAAGCATAGACCAGGCAACCAACACAGGAACGCAGATGCTCTGAGCCCTCAGACTGCATGATCAAAAGGTTTAGCAGCACATTAATCCAGATCAGCACCTACTTTTTGTGATGATAGTGTTTAGAACGTCAATACAGGCTGCAAGCCAAATAAATTGTTGCTCTGCTTACCCTTCCAGAGCACCTGAGATCACCCACAGTTTTTGGTGGGGTTCGTGTTGCTTAGTCTTTAGTTTTCTATGTTGTGTTTTGTGTACTATTGTTTGTCTGTTTGTCTTTTTCTTTTTTAGCCATGGCATTGTCAGTTTATTTTCGATTTCTGAGTTTGAATGTCCCTCTGGTATCTTTAGCCCCTCTTTGATGGGCATAGAGGTTGCCAAGCCGGTGTATATCATGTATGAGCTTCCTGTATGGATAAAGTCCATCCCAGCTTATAGATGGTATGGTAATTGCAAGATAAAGAATCGAAAGGGCTCACAAATTTGTACAAATACATGTATCTTGAGAAATGCTCCAACAAAAAAATGTCATGACAAACACCTGAATTTGAGTAAATTTGATTAATCAAAGTGCGAGAGCACAACAAAGGCTATTGCCGTCAAGTCAATGTTTTGGATTACTAGTTTTCATCCATAATGAAAAGAATAACACTGGAGATTAATTAAATTCAGAAAAGACTATTGACACTGATTTTACACTACTTCAGCATTATAGAGAGAAGTGACTTCTCTTTTTTAAGACCGATATGGAGAAAAGGAAAGACTTAAAGGACAAGAAATTTGGAAAGGAATATGATGTTTTTAATGCATTACATTGATCAAACATTAACTCAAGATCATTATAATCACATTTTGATGAAGCAAAAATCTTTTCATGAACGCTTGAATTACGCTTACAAGTGCCGGCAGTGAAAACAAAATACTTAGAATCACACAACTGGCACTTTAACAAGTAGTGTACTTGTGACTCAGTTATGCAATTTCACAGCAAAGCGAGTGAAGGCCCAGATCGAGGATTATCCTTTTGTTTACCGAATGTTTCATGAAGTCTGGATGTGCCAGTACTTTTGCCTTGAGGAGCTTTGATTTTAATGTTTAAAAGGCTTGTTGGCATTCTTCAGTCCACCAATATGCATGACCTATATCTGTTAGCTTACGCATGCATTTTGCAATGGCTTCAAAGTTTTCAATATATCTCCAGTAGTATTCGCACAGACTGAGAAAAGAGGGCAGCATACATCCTTAGATTCTGGCCATTTCTTGATGGCTTCTATCTTCTGTGGCAACTCATATCTTTGCTTACTACATGTCCTAGATAGGAAACTGATTTGGAAAAAAGTGAAAACTTAGGTTTCAATTTCAACCCTGCATTTTGAAGTCGTTCAAACTCTTTAGATTTACATATCTAATATTTCCGTGAAAGTCCTGCTTTCTACAATAATGTCATTCAAGTAGACTATGAGAAAAAAGCAGAGAAATAAGGCTTCTATTATGATGATAATACAAAACCTTTTTTTTTTTAAATACATGGCATGAGGCAATACCAGCATTCAGTTAGGGAACGAAAAAATGTCCATAGGTTGAAGTTATGTTCAACTTAAAAAAGTAAATTGGATGACGCAATTGGCATTGGCGTCAGATTGAAGCATTGGCCTATTTTTAAGACCATATGCTTTAAAGAGCAATTTAGAGCATTCACTATAAGAAAAGCAGTACACCAGATTAAAAAGCAGAGAAATAAGGTATCTTTTTTGATGATTTTAAGTATTTTGGTTTTTTTAATTGACATGGCAAAAGGCAATACCCTTATCAAGTTTGGGATAAAAAAAAAATGTCCATATGTTGAAGTTATGCTCAACTCACATAAGTTAATGCGATGACACAATTTCTTGGAGGAGGGGGGTAATGTGATGAATATTGTTTTTAATACATTTACCTTGAACATATTTACATTTTAATCTCATTAACAAAGCCAAACATAAACTTATTATATAGTTACACACTTAATTATCCACATACGAATCTACTTTCATTTTCGGTTTATTTAAAATTGTCCAAGTAAATGTTAAATTTCGAAAATAGTGCTGGGTTCTGAATTGATCTATATCCCAAATTGGTAATGTCAAATTAAAACATAAAAGATGTGCTTTCAAATTACATTCATAAATGTTGGTATAGTAAAACATTTTAGCAAAATAGTCGTTTTGGTTGACTCTAGTAATAATTTGGGAGAGTAAAAGACCTAGTGTATCAAGCAGTGCTTGCAGTTATTGTATCCAGGGATGATTCCAGCTGTTTTCAAATAGGTCCCTTGATCATCAAATTGGGAATTTTTATTCCAATTGGGAATTTTTTATGCATAAAATCTAAGATGAAATGACATTTTCCTGTAAAAACGGAAAATGTATATTAAGTTTCATCTGTACACTGATGATAGAAGTTAAAACATTTTGAATAATTCTGGATGGGCTACTGAATATGATGTATATATCATATGTGATAACCAGATCGCTTGACAGTTATTTGATTGAGACCAGGGAAGTTGTTACATTAAAAGATCATTGCACATGATGCACCATCTTTTGTAGGCTTGCATCTTACAATGTAGCTATGGTAACCTAGGCCTTTTACAATAATATATATATCAGCTAACATAAACCACTGAAAAAAATCATCCATTTGGGTATTTTTTTCAACAACAGATCATCTTTATAAATTTTCCTTGATTCAAAGTGATTTCAAATTGAACTGGCCAATTGTTGAATTCAGAAAAGCAATTATATACTTTATAATTGATAAGATATTTTGTGATTTTTACTTGCTGTTTAATATGTAGAAGGTTGCCATAGTTTAACTTTTGGTGTCTCTCTAAGAAACAGGAAATTAAAGCATTGAACCATTGTATTTTAATATTATTTTGATCATCTTCACAACTTTTGAAACAGTTACATAATGTCGACATCGTATTAATAATTTCATGAATGATCTATCATCCACATGTATTTTCAAAAACGCTCAAACTTATGACTTTTGCGGAAATAGAGCCTGACAAAATATAAAATAATTTCTTCTACAAAGTTTTCATCATATTATATAACCGGCTCTGCTGGGCGATCTCCTTTTACAAGATCGGCGCCCATTAACATTTATTCATCAATGTTATATCAAAATTTGAATTTTGCTCTCTGTCGATGTCTGCCTTGATGACAGCCATTTTGACAAAAAGCATCTTTTTATCTACCTGCTAGGCGATCTGCTTTTACGAGATCAAATACTCTAATAACATCAAATCATTTAGGCCACATGTTGACATAATTTAATCGTTGTTAATAAAGTTAAATCGTTGACAGCATTCTTATCCGGATTTTAAAACGTTTTGACGACAAACGATGAAAAATTATAGTTGCCTAAATCGATGACGGAAACATTTCCGGAAATATCGATTTTTATTTTATTTTTCCTGAATTGGGAATTTATATTCACATAAATTTTTTTGGGGCCGCCGGCCGATGTAAGGGCCGCTAAGCGGCCCTAAGCTATATAATGGAATCATCCCTGGTATCAGTCAGATGGTATACGTTGACCAAGACACAAAGAATTAGAGGTGAGAATCATTATAATTCTGAAGAAGAATTAGGAAGCATTGGTCCTGAATAAGAAACAGTGTTAATAAAAGTAATTACATAAAGAAGAAGCTGATGAAGAAGCAGTGGCTTCAGTCATGCCTTGGCTGTAGCATAAAGCATTGGCTGCCGCTTGAAGCAGTAGGTCATTTTAAGAGCACTGGCTTCTGCTTGAAGTAGTGGCCCATTTTAAGAGCATTGGCTATGGCTTGAAGCAGTGGACCATTTAAAGAGCATCGGCTACTGCTTGAAGAATTGGCCCATTTTGACAGCATTGGCTCCAGCTTGAAGAATTGGCCTTTTTTTAGGAGCAATTAATAGCGTTGACTGTAAGAAAAGCAGCACACCATATCAAAAAGAAGAGAAATAAGGCATCTTCCTTGGCATCTATTGTTCATGCTTTAACCTTGGCTACTTCATTTGAGGACTAGAAGCCATTAAGCCCTTGGTGTTCGTCGTAAAACTTAGAGTGACCAAACCCCTTATTCACTAGACTAAAAAAAAACAATACCAGTTATTTAGCCTTTGTTGTATCCAGAGAAATAACTCTGGTATGAACTACACATAGTACCTAACCAGTACCCCCCACCCCCCTACTTGACAATATCTCAACCTCAAATTGTGTCAATGGAAAACTATCTACTTGTCTAATCAATCAAAGAGTGGTTTATTAAAAATTGATTAAATTTTAAAGGCACAAATTACTAGAGAACAACAGTTAAAGTCTTTTGCAATCTTCAACAATTAAATAGGACCCCAACATTTGATGAACTTTTTAAACAGATGAGCTTCAGCGTGAAAACAGATGCGCAGTGGTATTATTTTGCTTGGTCATCTTTTATATTCATCAAACATTAAGAAAAGAAGCTTTAAAATTTCAGAAAATGAAATGTTTAATTTGCACTTATAACATTAAATTTAAAGTTCAAAATAAATTGCCCTGTCTAATAATTTTGCCTAAGTGTAAACAGTGGTGTCAGTTCAGCATATACTAAGGCAAAAATATATTTAGTGGCAGGAACTCATGTTTTGCAAGGAGCCAAAAGTAACATTATTTCTTACTTTCCATCTGGCATTCACAACACTAATGACCTAATTAACATAGTAATGTTTAATAAATGATTTTAACTAAATTCTTCAGTCAGATTGAAACGCTAAGCTCTGACTTTTCTACATAATTCTGGGTTGGTCTTATAACAATGAAAGAATTTAGACATCTGCTTGTTTTAAACATACCACATCTAGATTACTGTCAGGTCCATGAAAGTTGTAAGATTGAGGCATCAGAGAATCTTCAGGGAATCCAGAATTGACTAGGATATCTGCTAACTGTCTCTGAAAAACCAAAAAGTTGCCATCATCAGTAAATTAAAATCTCATATAAAATCCAGCAAACAAGTTCACTCTGTCTCTTATCATTTATAAAAAATCAGCATAAACGTTGCAATTGTGACCTTATATCAAAATAATATTGTACTACTAACAAACACATTTATTATGTAAACTGAGTGTATGTAATTTTAATTTTAAAAAAAATTAAGACACTCGTATAGCTCACAGTTACCTAGTTCATCACATGGCATATTATTTCACAACCGGAGACATTCCTCAACCATTGAAATAGTCTCTTTAGCTAAAAAGGCCAATATGAGATCCTTCAAATGAGGCAAGGAGACTCTCTTTTACATTCCATCAGAAATCATTTTGTAAAAACTAATAATTGGAATAAGAACTACTATCAAGTCCATTAGTTTGTTCATCTAATAAGTCAGTTCATTTTGTTCACATATTGTTAAAGGAATGGACTAATAGGACAAAAAAAAACTTACCTTAGCTTCAGATGTCATTCTAAGAGTTGGCATAGACAATGACTTTTGATCACAGAAATTCATCTCTGACATTTCTCCACCCGATCTGAAAATTCATACATAAACATGTAAGCATATGCTGTGGACAGAATATTTACTCATTGACTCCAAATGTTGAATTTGTAGAAATAGAAAAGATTTATGGGTTAGTAGATTCATTGAATATATCTATGTATGAAATTTTTGATAAACAGTTTCTAGCAAATTTGCTGTTATTCATTTTTGAAGCAGCAGAAAACGTTTGTTAAAATCTATTGACAGTAATATTAGATATATTACTCACAGCAAAATATATGCATTAATATTTGATCATTTCAATGAAACTATATTCAGGTCTAGCAGACAGATAAATATTTTATACCAATTTGAATGATTCAACTATATGCTTTATGAATAACATTTATTACCCATAAATTTAAGAATATTTACCTTGAATCTTCCCACATTTGGAAAGCATTTAATAATGCTACATGATCACTGAATCTGTCTCCAGCTAAAGATTTATGTACCCAGCCTAATCTTCTCCTATCTGTAGGTGTTATAAATGGTTCAGGGAAGGTTGTACTGGCAGCTATTGTACAGACTGCATCACCAACACTGAAATATTACATTCATTATTTGTTTTCAATTTTTGTTAAATAATCAGATCAGATCTTTAAGAATGGTGGAAGACACTAACAATGTATAAATCATTTACTTCTTAGAGAGTTTTGTAGAACTTTTTAAAATAAATGGAGAATGTGTCCATGGGATACAAATGATGCCCCGCTTGCATACAACATTATAAAGGGACATAACTCAAGAACGGTAAAAGTGACGCTACCAAAACTCAAGCTGATCTGTGTATTGTGGTAATAAATATTGTGTATAAGATTCATAATGTTTAGTTGAGGCAAACTAAAGTTAGAGAACAGAAACAAAAAAAATCAGCAATTTTTTTTTCCATTGTAAAGGGGCATAACTCAAGAATGGTAAAGTTGAGGCTACCAAAATTCAAACTTGATCTGTGTTTTGTGGTAATAAGCATTATGAATAAGTTTCATAACATTTGGTTGAGGCAAACTTAAGTAAGAGAACAGAAACTAAAAATTTGGAATTTTTCATTTATAAAGGACATAACTCTAGAACGGTTAGAGTGATGCTACCAAAATTCAAACTTGATCTGTATTTGGTGGTAATAAGCATTGTGTATAAGTTTCAAAACATTTGGTTGAGGCAAACTTAAGTAAGAGAACGGAAACTAAACATTTTGCAATTTTTCCATTTATAAAGGGGCATAACTCTAGAACCGTTCGAGTGACGCCACCAAAATTCAAGCTTGATCTGTGTTTTGTGATAATAAGCATTGTGTATAAGTTTCATAACATTTGGTTGAGGCAAACTTAAGTTAGAGAATGGAAACTAAAATTTTTGTAATTTTTCCATTTTTAAAGGGACATAACTCTAGAACAGTTAATGTGAGGCCACCAAAATTCAAACTTGATCTGTGTTTTGTTGTAATGAGCATTGTGTATAAGTTTCATAACATTTGGTTGAGGCAAACTTAAGTAAGAGAACAGAAACAAAAAAATCAGCAATTTTTTTTTCATTGTAAAGGGGCATAACTCCAGAGTGGTTAGAGTGACCCTACCAAAATTCAAACCTGATCTGTATTTGGTGGTAATAAGCATTGTGTATAAGTTTCATAACATTTGGTTGAGGCAAACTCAAGTTAGAGAGCAGAAACTAAAAATTTGCAATTTTTCCATTTATAGAGAGGCATAACTCTAGAACGGTTAAAGTGACGCCACCAAAATTCAAACTTGATCTGTGTTTTGTGGTAATAAGCATTGTGTATAAGTCTCATAACATTTGGTTGAGGCGAACTCAAGTTAGAGAACAGAAACCAATTTTGGGACATACGGACGTGTAGATACAGCAGACAAGGGTAAAACTTAATGCCCCCTCCGCTACGGCAGGGGCATAAAAACAAAATACATTTTATTGAATATACATGTTTAAAGCAGCATTTGCAAGAAAAAGTTCTTTCCAATTCACAACATACTTTTTTATTCAATAGTGTTCAACATCTGTTCACATTAAATAATCTGCATTCAGCATTAAATAAAATGCTTCGCTGGGCACAGCTTGATACGACCGCAGAGGACGAACCCTGAACAATTGGGGCAAGTATGGACACAACATTCAAGCTTGATACAGCTCTGAATTTGGATTGTGATTAAATATTTGACACAGCATAGGTTTCTGACACAGAAAGAATGTGGTCTAAGAACTTCATTTTTTTTAATTTACCTATTATGGTCCAATGTCCAAAATCAAAATACATGGTTAGATTCAGCATATCAAAGAACCCCATATATTCAATTTTTGTTGAAATCAAACAAAGTTTAATTTTGGACCCCAACTTGGACAAACTTGAAAACTGGTCCCATAATCAAAAATCTAAACACATGTTTAGATTCAGCATATCAAAGTACCCCAAGAATTCATTTTTTGTTAAAATCAAACTAAGTTTAATTTTGGACCCTTTGGACCTTAATGTAGACCAATTTAAAAAACAGGAACCAAAATTAAAAATCTAAAAACATGGTTAGATTTGGCATATCAAAGAACCCCAATAATTCAATTTTTGATGAAATCAAACAAAGTTTGATTTTGGACCCTTTTGACCTCAATATGAACCAATTTGATAGCGGGCCCACAAATAAAAAATCTAAATACAAGGTAAGATTCAGCATATCAAAGAACCCCATATATTCAATTTTTGTTGAAATCAAACAAAGTTTAATTTTGGACCCCAATTTGGACCAACTTGAAAACTTGGCCAAAAATCTAAAATCTAAATACATGTTTAGATTCAGCATATCAGTTTAATTTTGTTGGACCCCAACTTGGACCAACTTGAAAACTTGGCTCATAATCAAAAATCTAAACACATGTTTAGATTCAGCATATCAAAGAACCCCAAAAATTCAATTTTTGTTAAAATCAAACTAAGTTTAATTTTGGACCCTTTGGACCTTAATGTAGACCAATTTAAATCAAAGCGCGAAAGCGCTGTAAAGGCAGTTAATTACAGGTTGTGTGTATTTTTAGTCCAGTTATATCATTATCTTGCATAGTACATTGTACTTATCAGAGATGGCTTTCAGTATTTAAGATTTAGAGTTCTCTAATGATATTGAACAAGTTTTATGAATGTCATATTCTGAGCACTATATGAAGGCGATTGTTCTCACTTGTTTATGAACTAGTGCATTATGTCCAGTTTGTACCTTTTTTTATCTATGTTTATAGTCAAATACTGTTTAAAATAGTTTGGCATTTTCTTTTAAGTAATAAGTAAATGTTATCAACTGTATTTTATTCAACTTTGCAAATGTGGTTTGTTACTGGTAAGTACAATGTATGGATGATAGTTGTTTCATTGGCAATCATAACACATCTCCTTATTTATATAATGATCTATATTCAACGACCTCAGGTATAAAAAAAAATGTATGTAACTAAACTATGATGGGAAACCTTTGACTTCTTTCTTTAATATAAACTTTTGATTTGGTACCATAGAACTATGTAGAATAAATGTACATTGCAACATGTCAACTCTTTCAATGACAATACTTTTTTTAGAAACTATAACTCCAAGCAAAATTATATTTCCAAGTATAAAGTAATTCATGAATGAAACAAGAGTACACACACTGAAATGTCTCGCCTTCTTTACTAATCATTGATATTATGTTGATAGTCCTAAATATAAAGCTTTATTACAACTGTCACATAAACTTAACATTAACCAAGTAAACTAAACATTGACCAATGAACCAAGAAAATGAGGTCAAGGTCAGATGAACCATGCTAGGCAGGCATGTACAGCTAACAATTCTTCCATACAACAAATATAGTTGACCTATTGCTTATATTTTAAGAAAAACAGACCAAAACACAAAAACTTAAAACCGAGCAATGAACCTTGAAAATGAGGTCAAGGTAAAAAAAAACCTGCGTGACTGACATATAGATCATAAAATATTTCCATACACCAAATATAGTTGAACTATTGCATATAGTATTAGAAAAAAAGACAAAACTCAAAAACTTAACTTTGACCACTGAACCGTAAAATTGAGGTCAAGGTCAGATGACACCTGCCAGCTAGACATGTACACCTTACAATCATTCCATACACCAAATATAGTAGACCTATTGCATACCGTATAAGAAAAACAGACCAAAACACAAAAACTTAACTATAACCACTGAACCATGAAAATGAGGTCAAGATCAGATGACACCTGCCAGTTGGACATGTACACCTTACAGTCCTTCCATACACCGAATATACTAGACCTATTGCTTATAGTATCTGAGATATGGACTTGACCACCAAAACTTAACCTTGTTCACTGATCCATGAAATGAGGTCGAGGTCAAGTGAAAACTGTCTGACGGGCATGAGGACCTTGCAAGGTATGCACATACCAAATATAGTTATCCTATTACTTATAATAAGAGAGAATTCAACATTACAAAAAATCTTAACTTTTTTTTCAAGTAGTCACTGAACCATGAAAATGAGGTCAAGGACATTGGACATGTGACTGACAGAAACTTCGTAACATGAGGCATCTATATACAAAGTATGGAGCATCCAGACCTTCCACCTTCTAAAATATAAAGCTTTTAAGAAGTTAGCTAACGCCGCCGCCGGATCACTATCCCTATGTCGAGCTTTCTGCGACAAAAGTCACAGGCTCGACAAAAAGGAGTTCTTAATTAAGTAATAAACTGATTCACTGAGCGCAGCTGGATACACCCACAGAGGTCCAACCCTGAACAGTTGGGGCAAAAATGGACACAATATTCAAGCTTGATACAGGTCTGAATTTGGATTGTAATTAAATATTTGACATATTATAGTTTCTGAATAAAAGTAGTCAAAGAACTTGAAATCGGTTATATGAATTGAATTTATATTCAATTAAAGATTTCTTGCTGTTGTGCAATACACTGTGCTGTTGCGCAATACTTAATAAATCTGTTGCCAGACTATAAACAAATAAAGTTCAATTTCTTCTCAATGTCATATTTGAAATTTATGAAAATCAATAGGGAGACTACATCAATAGCTATAAATAATTCACCAAAGTTTCATGCGAACTGCTTAAAGCATTTTTGAGTTGTTGTCCAAAAACTGGAAAATCCCCCCCTTTTTAATGAATAAAACCCCATAACTCAGAAATGTAAAATCTAAAATTTATAAAATTCTAAAGGGTGCTTACGGATTGATAATTTAGTCTTAGATGCAAGATTTTTTTATCAATTGTTTGTGGCTTTGAACTAGCTGTCAGTAAATGCGAGTACTCTCAGATCTGTACCTAGTGTCTTTTTGTTGTTTGGATGTACAACTACCCGGCCACGTCCACTTGTATTTGTATTTATCCATCTGATGAGTTAAGCCTCTTTCAACTGATTTTTATAGTTCGCTCTTATATTGTACTGTTACACCACTGTCCCAGGTTAGGGGGTGGGTTGGGATCCCGCGAACATGTTTAACCCCGCAACATTCTGTATGTACATGTATGCGCCTGTCC